TTAAAGAGATATCACACTTAAAAAAAAATAAAGGATTTTAGAGTTCTGAAATCGAGAACTTCACATTCTAATTGGTTTTAAACTCTTTAACCTTTCTTATTCCTCATTATATTTGACACTTACCAGACCTTTCATACAAGTTTTTTCCCGCAAGTCTGAAAACCCAGCCACCCTAGTTATTTTTATTACTTAAGTGTTAATGCTGTTAAACACACACACACACACACACACACACACACACACAATGCTCTGCAGATGTGCAAAGTCCCTAAATACCTCTTTTACTATAATTTTCTTTTCAGTTGGGAAAGTGTTTTTATTTGTTTCTCTTCTGCAAAGTAACCTAGCAACTTTTCTGGGTCTGAGACCAATGAGAGGCTTCAGACTATGTTAACTCTTTGAACTCCAATTACCTGTGGTTCAGAGAGATAACCAGGTCTTTAAAAAGTTAGTGCAATAATTCTGTTCTTTTTAAATCCATTAAAATTTAAAACTGCCCATTAAACATCATTTTTCTTTCTCCAAAAAAAAAAAAAAAAAAAATGGGATTTATGTCAATCTACATTGAATGATCATCTCATTTATCTGTCAATGATCTGGTCTGAATCCCACCCTACCGTTCAGTGCCCCAGCCCATATCAAACTACTTGGCTAAGAGATAGTTCTGTATCATTGCATATGCTCATCTCTAAACTTGGAGCAACCTTCTTCTTTATTTTCCACCTAGAAGACCTGATCGTTCAAGCTAGCACAAGTATCTCTCTCTCTCCTGACCACCATCTTCCGGAGTGAGCACCCCCTCCTTTGTCCTTTGTTCTGTCTCTGTCCCTTAAAGCTGCATCTCTTATTGTCCTTGTAGTATATCCTTGTTTAAATGTCTACCTCCCCTTACAAATCTCAGTGCTCCTTAAGTTACATGATCTATGTCTTCATGTTTGTATGGCTAGCACCTAACATAATGTCTATTTCCTACTAGCCATTCAGTACCTATTTGTTGAATTGAATTCAATTTTTGAATAGCCAAGCAACTACCAGAAAAGCACTCCGCTAGAAAAGTCTCCTGCAGGTCTTGTCTCACATGGATACAGTGTTTCAGTGTTTGCAGAGCACTTTCAAGAGCACTGTCTCATCTGGTTTTCAGATTCTGGATGAAGTAAGGATTTATGGATAAGTGGTGGGTATAAACGCAGTGAAGCAACTTGCCCAGACCACACTGATGATCATGAAAAGGTGCAGATTCAAATTAGGGTCTTTGGGCTCCAAGTTCAGGATTTTTTCTACTATATTCCACTAGACTTTCAGCCAAGCGTATTATTCTAAACTGACGGCTCGTAATTCTGACTGTACATTAGAACGATCTGTGGTGCCTTAAAACATGCCAGTGCTCAGGTCTCACCCCAGATGAATTAAACCAGAATCTCCTGGGGAGACACTTTGGCATTAATATTTTTAAATTTTTCACATAAAGCCATGGATTTTTAAATTATTTTTCACAGAATTAATTGCTTTGGCCAGATGCCTGGGCATGATATGGGCACGGACCCAGCTTCTTCTGTGAGCTCTTGTTATTCCCTTCTTCTGTTGAAGTTATTCACCATATGGTATTGAGCATGATGTGACATCTCTTGGGGTCTCCTTTTCATCATCTGTCAAATTAGGGTGCTCTGTAAGGGATCCATGCAGTCCCTTCCAACTCTTCAATTCAAAAATGGAGTCTTGGTGTGGTGTGGGTTGAAACGAGGGCCGTGTACGGAGAGTGTATGGAGAAGAGAGCAAGTGCCGTTCATGCTACAATCATAGATTTATGCAAGCATTTTTACAGAGTCCTGCTAGCCTGTTCCTACAGTGGGGCCTATAAAATCTCAGCTCTGTATATTGCTTTTGACATTTCAGCAATGTAGCTAAACTTTTTGATTAGCCGGAGGATAGATAGCAGGTGTCAGAAACTATACAGCCGGTGCCTGGTATATAAGAAGCCAAAAACATTCAGAGAGTGTGACGAGGAATGAAAGCTGCCACTTATATTCTTCAATTTACAGCCCCTAACGCGAGCAGGCAAACATATGCTCAAGCCCATTACATGAAGGGAGATATTTGTTTCATATGTTTGAAACCATTTTGAGATGCAAACAAAGTAGAAGGGAACGCTTCCTGGGCCTTCCTCCCACGCTGACCAGTTGCCTACCACACATGGCACCGGGCTTCTGGGCTAGACAGGGCTCTCTGCTGCCAGTCCTTGACAGAACTGGCCTCAGGAGGTTCAGCGTCTCCTCGATGTGGTCTGGAAAAAGCAGACATGGAGGAAGTTGACCTTTCAGCCTTGCATAATTTGAGTGTCGATATTATAGGGAAGTCCGGTTCAGGAACCAAAGCTCATTCCTGACTCTTGCTTTTCGGGAAGTAGCGCGATGGAATAATCATAACTAATGTTTGGTTAGGGCTAGACAGTTAACAAAATACTTCCCCATCCTCCTTTACTCTGATAGCAGTGCTGTGGGAAGTCGTTATTATTACTACTTAATGGATGAGGAAACAAGACCTCCCATGACCTCCTAAAATGGAAAGGACAAATAAAGTCAAAGCTGGAGCTGAATCTAGCTCTTCTGACCCAGGGCCAGTGCTCTCCCCTCCTCAGGAGGCCTGAACCTGAACTCCAGCCCTGTTAACATTGGTTCATTTCCTCACTTGAAAATGGGATGCTTGGGCCCTGCCAACTGGTTTTTTGACTCAGCTTTCCAACTAATTCGCAGGTTAACTTGGACATATGCCTTCCCTTCCTTCTGCCTCTGAGGCCCTCCTTCCACAGATTGGTTTAAGAAAATATTGACATTGGCTATGGGATTAAGATATTTTGTTTTCTTCATAGAATGTCACATATTGCTACTGTAGGGACCTTGAAAAAATTAAATAAATTTACTTTCTTTTTCTTGAAAGAATAGTACATGGTCCTTCTTGACAAATGTAAACATTTTATATGCATAAAAATAGAAATACTTATATTCCCATTTCAGAGATAACTACTGTTAATACCTTGGTGTATATCCTTTCAGACTTTTTGTACTCACCTATTTATACTTTATGTAAATATTAACGTGACACCTGATTACCAAATATATCACTGTTAATCTGAAGATGCTGGTATGGTTTCCCAGCATTGACTTTTTAGGCTATCTAAGACTCAGGCCCCACTTTCATGGATTCATTCATTTATAATCTGTTATATATCAGACTGTATACTAGGACCTTTATATGCATCATCTTTCATGCTCATAGGAGCCTTATGAATTAGATATTATAATCTCCATTTTATATCAGAGGAAACTGGGGCTCAGGGAGACTTGTTGCCCAAGTTTTCACAGTCAGTAAGTGGAAGAATTGGGACTTAAATCCAAGTACATTTCACTCCAGAGGGTGTGACTAAAGTAGTGCAATGTAGTGCAATAATAGAGAAATGTGCAGGGAGCCGTGGCTTGTGGAGGAGTGAAAGGATACTCCATAGCTGGGAAGCTCTGAGCTGGATGGTGGAGGACAAGCAAGACGGTGGAGGATAAGTAGGTGAGAAGTGAACAGGGCACATGCAATGAGGCTGGAATGAAAGGGCATGGCATGCCCCCAGAATAACTGGGGGATCACAGGGCTGGCTACTGAGATGAGATGGGAAGGACAGATCAGCCAGATCAAAAGGGCCTCAACAGTCATCCCAGAAGCAGACACTTTACCCAGCAGACACAGTAGAACAGCATGGTCACCTCTGTTTTAAAAAATCAGCTTTGGCAGAAGACTGTTGGTGGGTGGGTCGGGGATATCTGTTAGGATGCTACAGCAATAAGTCGTATAAGAAAATGTAAACTATGTAATTAACTGGAGAGGAGAAGAGACGGATTTCCAAAACATAGGAAGCAGAATAAGTAGGACGTGGTAACTATTGACTCTGGGGTAAATGAAAAGATGAACGGTTAAAGTTCAGGCCAGGGAACTGGTTGATGGTAATACCATGAACAGAAATCAGAAACAAGAGCAGGAAATGATAAGGAGAGGAGTGATGAGGCAGCTTCAGCACCATTAAGTTCAAGGTCATCAGACCTCACAGGGGAATCAGTCTGTTTGACAGAGGCCTGGTGTGGTGAATACTGACTGACCAGGAGGGCTTTGACCAGCCTTGGTCATTCTGCCTCGTTATTGCGTCAGCCATGGTGATGTGCTCTGTAAGTTTTATTGAATTTTCCTTGCCTCTTTTGCAACTCTTTATTAGTCCATTATCTCTGATTCCTACAGGAAATAAGTTGTAGGTTTTCAATCCTTTTACTAAGAGGAAGAAAATTTGCTTTGCTTATTCCTTCTTTATTAAAGATTTTGCATACTTGACTGAGTTTGTGGTGAAATACCATTTCAACATGTTAAATCTGTTTAAGGTACTACAGATTTCATCAATGCATTTAAGCCTCATCCCAGTATTACCATGTTATTATCATTTAGTTTTTAGAAAAGAGAATCGAGAGTTTATGATTCTTAAATTAAGCCAAGCTGAAGAAATATCAACTTTTACCTAATTATGAAAGTTACATTTTCGACAGTAAAATGGAAGTGTCAGACTCCCAAATGTGATACTTTCTAGGAGTTTAAATTTAACACTATTATCAGAGCTTTGAATGAGCAAAACCAGAAGAAATGTTAGATATTATCTAGTTACCATTTTCCCATAGTACAGACCGAGGAGGAAAGTCGGAAGGGGAAAGGTAATTACAGCACGCCAGAGAGAGACATGCTGAGATCTTGTTCTCCTGGCTGTGATTGAGATGAATGGCGGGGGCCTGTGTTTATAAATGTAAGTAGACCTACATTCATGTCTTTCAGGTGGCTGCTTCTCTATCATGCTCTGTGCTTCTCCCTGTCAAAGGCTTCAGCCCACACCGTGGAGCTGAACGATATGTTTGGCCAGATCCAGTCGCCTGGTTATCCAGACTCCTATCCCAGTGATTCGGAGGTGACTTGGAATATCACTGTTCCAGACGGGTTTCGGATCAAGCTTTACTTCATGCACTTCAACTTGGAATCCTCCTACCTTTGTGAATATGACTATGTGAAGGTGAGACTCCTGATGTCCCCTAACTGGGCCTGGCTCTCTGCTGGGATTTAGACAAGGCAGTATGAAACTAGACCCTTCCAGGGTGGCATATAGTGAGAGAGACACACAACATCACTATGGTATGAATTCATGTCAAGGTGGAAAGCTAAGTGCAAGCTGATAGGTAGAACTAGAAAGGTCCATGAAGGAAACTGAAGCTGATGGAGTATGACTCAGCCCAACACAACATCCCTTCTTTCTTCCTGTTCTCAAAGCCTTTAATGATTCTACCAGTCTCTGTTCCAAGGTCACCTTTAATTCAGTGAGCAGAAAAGGGCAGAGACCTCGGAGTAAGCGGTAATCATGGAAACAGAACCATAATTATGTCCAAAGTTGAGGCATTAGAAAGCATTGTCCAATTTCCCAAATAATGATCAAGTATATGGGAAGTGCAGGGTATACAGTAGTAAAGAGTCGGAGATGAAGTAGGAAGGGTGCATGGAGGGGACATTCTTAAGGGCCTTGAATGTCATGCCAAGGAGTTTGCATTTTATCAGCAAAAAGCATGGGTAGGGAGGAGAGGGTCACTATCAGAAGTAGATGTAAAAAGTAAATATGGGGGAAGAGCAGGACTGCATCAAAACAATATACCCTGGAATTTAGAGAACCCCCCACAAAAAAAAATTTCCATGGGTGAGAGGCTGTTCTTCTTTTAAAGTGCAGCTGAAAAAGGTCAGAATATTTCTAAGGGATCAAGTTTATTGCAATTATATCTAGTTAAAAAAGATGTGGAGACCTAAGAACCTACCTTCTAAGCTCTCTCCAGCTTCCTGGAAGAGGTTCTCATCAAACAACGCTAGAGCATTTAGATATTTTTAGTATTATTGTACACTCATTATTCCATAACCAGTAATTCAACATGAATTAACCTTGTATTAATCAGAATATTTGGTCAACAACACAGAAGTGAGTTTACAAGGTGCTTTTATAATTATAATCTCATTCAAACTTTAAAACAATTTTGAGACAGGAGCTATGACCCCACTTCACAGGTAAAGAAATAAATCCAGGAAGGTTAAGCAACTCACCCAAGGTTGTACATCTGGTAAGTGACGGATTAAGCTCTCAAACCCATGCCTTGTGTTTTTGAAACACATGCTCTTTTGTCTACACCAAACAACTCCCAAGCTATTCTCCACTGAGCCCAGGATACAGCAGGGGCATATAAAGGCACTGTGCTTCCACTTATTTTATATGTAGAGTGTTGTCATTGTATATGTTGGGTCTGCTTGCAATGTCCCATTTACAATAGGTCTCTGCATCTAAAAATTTTCCAAAATTGGTGTTCCATGGTAGGGATTTTTAACCTCAGCACTACTGATATTTTGAACCAGGTGATTTGCTGAGAAAAGCTGTCTTGAGCATTGTGGGATTTTTAGCAGCACCCCTAGCTTCTATCCTAACTAGGTGCCAGTAGCAGCACCCCCCTCCCAACCAGTTATGGCAATCATAAATGTGTCCAGATATTGTTCAATGTCCCAGAACCACTGCTGTATGGGATGATGCCTCTTAGAATGCCCTGTGCTAGGGACAGTGGAAATATTAGGACACAAAAGATCTGGTCCCTTAGAAAGAAAAGTGAGCCTTGAAAATAGCCATTGCACAAGATAGAAAACAGTGATGGCAATAAAAGACTAACTGATAAAGAATGACAAAAGGTGGAACTGGTTGCTCTAAGAGACAATGTAGATTGGTAATCTAGATGCAATTTCTGTAAATTCATTAAAAATAGAACCAATTTCTCAGGGTCACAAGGATCAACCAAGAGGTCTTCACTGAGGCTATGAGTATGTATCATCCTAAACTGAACTTTCTGATGAAAAGGTCAGTTATGCCTTTCAGGATAAAAGGGTTAACCAGAGTTAAACTCCAGGATAAGAAAGATTATAGGTGTGGGTCTTCAGGCTAAGTGGAATTTCCCAGCCCATTCCCCCAACTAATGTTGGTCACAAAATCATGACATTCTTTAATATTTTGGTTGGAGTGGTCTTAACCGGAAGAAAAATTACCAAACCTTGGTTTAATATGACAATAAGTTCCATGGATTTAGACAAGGCTCGATATGAACTTTCTAACCATATTTTTCTCCACTTTCAAACATGTCAACCATCTAGAAATTTTGTCAGTGCCAATAGCTTTTATTGGTACCTGAGACTCAAGATCACAGAAATTATAGAATATTTTTCCTCAGTTGTAGCAATGACCTCTTCTCACAATTTGCCCCCTCTCCTCCTTAAGGTTTGACTCTTAACTTCATATTCATTGAGCAATTCTTTCTCTTAAATTTGATTCTTTTTCAGACAGAAGACAAATTTAACCTTGTTAGATCTCCTTTATCAAGGTGATAAACACAGAAGAGAGGGTTTAGCTCTTCTTTGCTCCAAATAAGTGGAGCCTCCCAGGAAGGCAGATGAAGCAGCTGACATAAAGCAGCATTTTGTTAATGGGGAAAAACCGATGCTACTTTTCAAGAGCAATAATAAAATCTGAAGACCTCTTCTAACACTGAATTAAAGATATTGGAATAGACTTCTATCCAAAGCTTGGCTTTCTAGGCTACAGAATATTTTGGAAACTGGTTGATGGTTTCTATCTAGAGTGGTGAGACTCCTTCCTGAAACCACAAGTAGATGGACATGGGCCCTCTGGAAGAGGCAGTATGGTCCTGGGCTCTTACATGAAATTCAGAAAATTCCTTTTCTGGTCTCAGATCTGTCACTAACTCCCCAAATGACATGGAGTGGAGAAAAATATTATTTTAGAGCATCCTCTCTACTCCAAAATTAGACAGAAGACCTCTGGGCATAACAGAGAAGTAGTCTACTTGAGACAGCTTAGGGACTGAGCTGCCTACCTGAAGTGCCCTAAGGTCCTTGCATCTGTGAGTTGGGACATTTTTCCAGTTCCTTTGAAAGAAGAGAGTAACATGGTGGCGGCAGGAGGTGAGATAGATTTCTCCACTTGCGCTTGCACAGCTGACTCTCTTCCAGAAAGCCACCCAAATGTCAGCATTAGCCTCCTGCAGAGGTTCCAGCAGCCGTGGGGCACCAGCAGGCCTCACCTCTGCAGGGCGCTGCATGCTGGTTGGCTGACTACTGGTGCTCATGTGGAGACCACCCGTGCCCCTGCCGACACACAACCAGTGAATTGCCCTCCTAGAACTGAGAACTCACAGAATGTCAGGCTGCAGGGGCCCTCGGGGATGCATCTCATCTTAAGTTGTGGTTTTCAAATATGTTCTCCCCAGTACACATTTTCTTTTTTATTTTTTTTTCTTTCGAGACAGAGTCTTGCTCTGTTGCCAGGCTGGAGTGCAGTGGCGCGATCTCGGCTCACTGCAACCTCCACCTCCCGGGTTCAAGAGATTCCCCTGTCTCAGCCTCCTGAGCAGCTGGGACTACAGGCACATGCCACCATGCCCGGTTAATTTTTTGTGTTTTAGTAGAGACGGGGTTTCACCATGTTGGCCAGGATGGTCTCCACCTCCTGACCGCATGATCCTCCCACTTCGGCCTCCCAAAGTGGGATTACAGAGATGTAAGCCACCACACCCGGCCTATATTTTCTTCTTGAAAATCTTCAGTTAGGCCCAACATAGAGAAGAGACAGAAGTGAGCTGCTCTAGCTGTAGGTGGCCCTGCTTGCTCATCCTCCTTGGTTACCTTGAAGCACCTTGAGGGATTGTGACTTGAATCTTGCTGCTCAGGTCATGTTCCTATTGGACAGAGAGGAGGTCAGAATTCAGAGAGAGGGTGAGCATTCTGCCTCTGAAATCCCAGACCCAGAAGTCTTCCACACTTAGTTGAAACCCACTGACTTTTTCTAATTGCCTGGCCAATGCTAGCCCCTAGCATATATGCTTTTTCTGGCCATAAATGGAAGAGAAACTCTTCCCTTTCCGTCTAAATAAAAGCGCAAATACGCCATGTGGCCCCCGGGTAAATCCATATTCCTCTCCAAAATTCTGTTTTTTCCTCTGTTCAGTGAGAGGGTGGAGTGAGATGATCTCCATGGTCCTTTCAATTCTGGAATTATAATCCCAATCCTCCTCGCCAGAACTTCTAAGACGACCCCACCAAACCCTCCTTATCATAGTCAGGATAACACCAGAAAACAGAAATCTTATGTTTACAGCAGCTGTGTCTCAATGTTGCATAGCTGCAAGCACTCCAGTAGGAGCCTGCAGCCTGTTGGGGATGCCTTGGTGGTATGTCATCACAGAACTTGTAAACATATCATGCCAACACCGTCCTTTACAAAGCAACTTAAAATAACACTGACTTGCCTTTGGCAGGATAAAATTCCCTGTTTTAAGGCATTTTTGCTCTATGACTAAATTCTCCTCCCAGGCCTATATAGGAGTGGGTTTAAGAAACCTTCGAACTCACAGGAACATTTTCCAGCCAGCCCAACCCCACAAACTGCCCTTCCCACCCAGGCCCATCAGGGCAATGATGATGGAACTGCTGATACTGCTCATCAGTAGCCTGTAGAAGAGCAGGACCCCCAAGTCTGTGGTCCGGATGCTCACATTTATGAAAATCCCTCTCCTGCCTGATTTCCCACAGTTCTTGGTCTTCAAGACTCACGCACATCTGCACGGCAGCATCTGCTTCCTGGGAATGTGGCTGTAATGTTTAGATTCCTGTAGTGCACGGATGAGGCATACGAATCCAGGCTGGTTAACGCTGCAGGCAAGAGGCAAAGCACAGATGCTGGTCAGAGAGTCAGGCAGCCTGGGTCCTGGGTGTCATTCTATACTAACTAACCTTGGGCAGAGGACTACACCTAGAAGGAACTCTGTTTCCTCCTCTGTCAAATACAAAGGGTAAAACCAGATGGTCTCTAAGGTCTACTTTGCCTTGATATTCTGTGCATCTAGGACCGTAGAAATCATGATCCAACCCCATGATCATCATGTCCAAAGCCCAGGGAAGGGCAATTCATTGGCCAACATCACGCTTGTATCAGAATTTACATCTTAAGATTCTCAGTCTTTTCTTCCATTTATTTAACAGAGTTACTTAACAGATTTAAAAACAGCGAAGTCCCATCTTGTGAATGACTAGGTTTTTATGTTGTAATATAAGACAAATATTGTCTATAGTCAAACTTACCATTTAAAAAATCCCTTAAATATTGTAAAGCATTATCTTTTAGATGTCCAGAAAAGAATTTTTTTCCAGAAATGCAAGAAATTAAAGTTCCTTTGGTTGAGCACCAGATGAAGTGGTTCATTTATACTTACAAAGAAATTGTGAAGCTATGGTTATGGAGAGAGTTTAGATAGTTAGAAACCAGAACCACCAAGAGAACAGCAGATTACACATTCCAATTTCAAGTTCATTTCATGGCATCTATTCACTGTAAAAGGAAGCATAAATTACCTGCATTTGGATACTCTCTTTTTTCCTCTTTATGTCACCATGTGTAATATTTCAATAGCATCTATGGCATGTTTATGTAGTGCAATGCCACTGTTTTCCTTTTAACCCTATATCCTCGATGTATTTGACATTTCTTCCCGCCTTTCCACCTTTAGTTCCTTAGTTCCAATTCTTATTCCTCTCAACTAGTCTATTGTAATAGCCTTCTATATGTCTACCAGATGTCACCCTCTCCCCATCTAGCCTACCTTCTATGAGTATCCAGAAGGATCTTCATCGAACATAGCTTTGATTATGCTACTTTAAAAATCTTTCAATGCCTCCCCGTTGTCTATGGAATGAAGCACAGTAATCCTATTGAAAATCTACCATAAGCTTGAGACTATGCCAAAGACTGGGTGTGCAAAGACCAGCAAAAAGAATTCTTCACAGTAAAATGAACTGTAAAGACCTCAAGGAATTCAGAGTTCCATAGAATGTGATGAAATAAGTGCATAATAAAGCCAGACAAAGTAACACAAGGGGTATCAGTCAGTATATACGTTTGGGAGTGGTCATTTCTAGATGGCCAGGGAGGGCTTTGGAAATAGTTGATGTCTGAGATTAGTCTTGAGGGGTAAATAATAATTTGGCAGTGCAGTTCCCTAAGTAGGATTTCTTAGCAGAGCTACCATCAAAGCAGGGAGGTTGAAGAGGATGGGAATGATGCAAAACTGAGAATAATCAGAGTTGGCATGCTTTGGGGAGAGGTAAAACCCAGAAAGATTATCTGAGGGTGAACTGAGAAATGTTTGGTAAATTTGGGTTTAAGCATGTGCTCCCAAAATCGCAAAAAAGTGGTCAAAGGTTGAATTAATTTCACCGATGAATTTTGTTAGCCAGCCTAATACTAATTTGTACTATGATTTGGGGCCGGGGTGGGGAGTAAAAAAAGAAGAAGAAAGAATTATGACAACATAAAATTTCCAATCTCACACAACAGTCTACATTTCCAAATTATCTTAGAATATTAGAAAATCTGGCAAATCTTGCAGCTTCCTGCCTTCCAACAACCAGCCAGCACCAGGAAGAGGTGGCCCTGCGGGTAGAGTCCCCACCATTCCCTATAACTCCCCCATACTAATGCTTTCTGGCCTCTTCGTGGCACCATTGCTTCTTTTACAGTAAAGAAAGTGAAACATTTTTCCCCAGTGTCTCTATCAAAAATAGGAAAGTTGAAAGTTCCTGAGAAAGACATGTGTTTCAGGAAAAATCTCTTTGCAGAGTGAAGAATATCCCTCTGTATTTAACATGCAAAGTGTGTATTTCTGTCTAAAGAATTCATAGCAGCTTGTTTCACTCATGTTTTCTGCCTGGCATCTTTTAGCATTTGAGTCTAGGACCTCCAATTAGAAGCTGTGATGTCACGGAGGGAGGGGGCAGTGAGGTTCGGGGATGTGACACAATCATGGGTATGCTTGAGCAAGGTTAATCTGGAGCTACATAAGGGGTATCAAGGACTGGTAAAGTGAAAAGAAACTGGAGCCGCTGAATGAGGCCATTTAGGTGGCTGTGCTAAATAGATTGGATATGACTATGTGGAGCGTAGTATACTTCAAGAATGCCCACAGGCCTCTTGGACAGCTATGGAAGAGCACGTAGGATGTGCAGAGGTAAACCCCACAGGAACTGGCTGCATATGGGAGAGGAAAAAGGAGGAATCAGATGCTTTAAGCTCTAGTTAGGACAACTTACTGGCTACTAACCCAGAAATTGAGATCAGGAACGTGAAGATGCGTAGATTTGGAAAGATATAGAGTGCACTGAAGTGCATTGAGTTTTGAATACAGCTAGAAATGCTGGTCTAAAGTTTGAGACAGAGCTTAAAGAGTTGTAAGAATGGGTGTGGGAAGAGCACAGAGACAGTGATGGAGAGAGGATTAACACATTGAGGATTAAATTCTGTTTCTGCCACCATCTGAGTGAGGAATCTTAGTGAAGCTCCTTGATCTCCCTCAGCACTGGTTTTGTCATCATTTGAAAGAAAGAGTTCCTAGTGAATACAATGTCTTCCTCACAGGTTGTGGGAGGATTTGAGTGACATAAGGGTCTGAGAGGAATCAGTACTGCAAGCGCAGTTGTGCTCAGCGGTTGGGAGCTCAAACTTTGGAGTCATTCAGACCCATGGTCAAGTCTTGCCTCCACTTCTTACGGGACCGTTTGCTTAACCTTGCTAAGATTTTCTTCTCCATCTGTAAAATGGAGATAACAATGATGTTTATTTCATAGGCTTACTGTGAATGCCAAATGAAGTAAATGCTTTAATGGCATATGTCTAACACATCTCTAATTAGCTCATAAGTACATTATAGTGGTAATGAAGGCAATGGGATGAGTAATAAAAGTGTCTGCGTGGGCCGGGCGCGGTGGCTCAAGCCTGTAATCCCAGCACTTTGGGAGGCTGAGACGGGCGGATCACGAGGTCAGGAGATCAAGACCATCCTGGCTAATACAGTGAAACCCCGTCTCTACTAAAAATACAAAAAAACTAGCCGGACGAGGTGGCGGGCGCCTGTAGTCCCAGCTACTCAGGAGGCTGAGGCAGGAGAATGGCATGAACCCGGGAGGCAGAGCTTGCAGTGAGCTGAGATCTGGCCACTGCACTCCAGCCTGGGGGACAGAGAGACTCCGTCTCCAAAAAAAAAAAAGTGTCTGCCTGGTATCATCAGATGCTCAATGAATGTCAGTTTTCTCATCAACTCTGACCCTACCACTGATTAGCTTATGTATGGCCTTGCTAATGTTACTCAGTTTTTTCTGGCAATTTATAAGAAAGTGCTTCCAAAACACTATTCAAAAGCTGGGGGTTATTTCTCCTTTGTATTTACTGTGTAGAAACACAAATTTTACAGCAGTTTTTAATCTATTCACTCATTTGATTCTTATGGAATAGGAAGAGTAGGGATTATTGCACCAAATTTACAAAAAAGGAAACAGGTACAAGTGAATTTGCTCAAGTCTCTGCAGGAAAGCCAGGTTTGACTCCCTGCTCTTCTAACTCCCCGAGTCATGGTTCTGTCTGTCTATGGAGGCTTCCTCAGAATAGGCTTTATTGTGGAAGGGGCCCTGTTATGTTTCCTGGCCATGCATTATTCCTAAAACAAGGTTGTGGGAGAACCTTGTTCTCTCCTACTTGTCAAGATAATTTTATAAAATTTGGTAAAACAGAAGGTCCTTGAGGGGCCCTATATTGTCTAGATTATTTTAAATAACTTTCTCGTTTATCCTTTGAGAGAAAAAAGTGTTTTTTTAAAATAATAGAAAATGGAGTCTGAACTACAATGAATCGGCAAGTGCTTGTGTTATCTGCTTGTAGTGCGTAATTTCTAATGATGAGCTCAAGCTCATTCCCACTAGATTGCCAGCCCCATGAGTTCAGGGCCTATGTCTGTGTTTTCTCCAGTAGAAAGCACAGTCCTGGCAGAACAGGAAAAGGCACATGTCTCCTGGCAGTGGAAAGGGCTCTGGCCTAGAAAACAGCTGCTGACTCCTGCTGAGAGCTTGGGCAAGTCACGTCTTCATTCAAGGCCTCAGTTTCCCCATCTGCCTGATGAGGGAACTGGACCAGCTGGCCTCTCCAAACCCTTCCAGTTCTGATGGTCTGTGACTCCCAGTCCAATGCCCCTTCCCTCAGGCCACATTGGGTCAGTCTGCATCCTGCTGTGTAATTGAGAGGTAAGTCGCTCCCAAGTGGGGACTCTTCTGACCCCTAAGCTCCTAATTTCTGTGCAATGCTCTGTGTTTACTTAGAACATGCCCTCGACCTTCCGGCTGAACTCACTTCACCTACTGCAGTAACTCTGCTCAGTCTCTGGGAGTGGACAGGAGGCCTTGGCCCCAGAAGGAAATGAGAAATGGGTAAACATTTCTCATGAATTTCAATTGTAGTCTCCAGTGGAATTCTCCCACTCCAGAGACACCGGGTCCCAAACACCAATTCTAGCTGACTCAGAAGAATTAGAAAAGGAAAATGAGCTTGCATCAGGAAAGTGTGATGAAAGCTCATTTCATGCCGAAAGTGCAAACAGCATAGGCTTCAGGGTGATGGAAAACAAAAGGAAGCTCCCAGTGCTGAGGCAGAGAATGTGGGTGAGCGTGAGCTGGGAATGTCCCAGGTGTGGGTGTACATGGGGTGCACATCTCTGTGCTTGAGTGTATTACATGTTGCTCTTGAAAACACCTTGGTGAAGAGCAGTGCCTGAATTTACTTTGATATGCTTATAAAGGGAAACATTAGGGAAGGAGAGGTGTTCATTTATCCAACAACTATTCATCTAGTGTCTACAATTTATTAGAGCTTAGGGTACAGCAGTAATTAGAATAGACAGAAATCTCTAAAGTGAGGCTTACATTGCACTGGGATACACAGACAGTAAACACTAAACATAATACATAACTAAATGATGTAGTAAGTAATAAGTTTACGGGCAAAGAAATAAAATAGAGCAGGGCTCTGCATGAGTTGAGATGGGGGCTCTGATTTAAATACGGTGCTCATTGACAGAGTGACATTTGAGCAAACACATGAAGCAGGTAAGAAGGTTAGCCATGTGGCTTTCTTGGTGGGGGGCTACCCTGGGGCCACTCCAACCAGAGGGAACATTCAGTGCCTCCAGGTGGAAAGTGCCTGGTGTGTTTGAAGAAGAGCAAGGATGGCAGTGTGGCTGGAGGGCAGGAACATCAATGAAGACAGAGGTACAGAAGGAGAGCGGGATGGGAGGCTGCAAAATAGGGTTCCTGCTAAATGCTGCCAGGCAATGGCAGGCTTTGCAAGCTGCTTTCATGCCCCGAATCTCATTTGACTTGATGTTCAGAGGATAGTATTAATGTCCACTTTTTACGTTTGTGAAAACTGCGGCCTGGAGACAGGGGTATGAGTGCTAACAACCAGACTGGGGGGTGGGGGCAGGGAATGGGGGAAAAGAGACATGCAGTGGCTCATCATTCAACATTCAGATATCATAGACGCAGAGAGCCCTCAGAGCATATATCATAGAACAATCACATAATTAGGAAGTAATAAGTTTTCATAGAACTAATAGAATTTATTTAATGGTAAGTTTGTGAAACTTAATGATTGGATTTAACAACAGGGGAGCAAAATCCCTGAAAAACTGACAGTTGGCTCCTAGAAACTGGTGAGAGCTGCCACCTACTCCAGCGCACCTACTGCCTGGGGAGGTTTAAGTGACCCCTGAAGTATGAGTGGCAGAGATGTGACAACTGGTCCTTATTCCAGTGCTCTTGTAGGATTTCAGTGCAAAGATTTGAGGATGTAAGTTTAGCCTGGGTCAGGGCAAGGTCCTGGACAGTGTCACAGGAACACAGTGGCTCACAATTCTTGAAACTCTGCTGGAAGACACTTGCCCAAGGCGGCCCCTTCTGTCCACTCAGCACCGGCCTCATCACTGCCTTCACCCGCATCCTGGCTATGACACACCTGGAGACAAGCAGCTTCTGCCGCAGAACACAACCACCCTTTGTGTTTCCCATCCTCGGGCTATTTTCCTGTCCTGAACTGTTTGGGGCCCAGCCTCCAAGTTGCAGAAGGGATTTGCATATGAATGAGCTCAGCTCTGGAGTTCCAGAAAGGGTGAGGTGGGGGAGTCTGAGCCATTCTCAGGCCAAAGAGATTGTCAATCCTCCCTGGCTCTCCCTCCCAGACACAATTCCCAGACTCTTCCCTCCCACCCCACCCCCCAGCCCAGCTCCCTCTGAGACGGTGGGCACTGCTGGTTTCCCACCTGCGGGATGCCCGCTTCCCAGGCTCTTGGCAGGACCCCTCCCCTGCCAGCTCTTTCTTCTCCCTCTGCTCATGCTGCCTTTTTCTGACCAGAGCCCTCCAGAGAATGGGCAATGCTTCCTGGCAGCAGTGGGATTCTTGGACTCTTTGGGATTCCTGGACTCTTAGGACCTGCCAGCTGTTTCTCTGGACCCCACCAGCTGTTTCTCAGGCCCCCACATTCTTTATGGCGCCAAGCATTTGCATGTACACAATACCTGCTTAGGGACTCACCCAGCTCTGTTAGGAGGTTTTCACCCTGATTAACAAATAAGGACACCGTCCTGGAAGAGCAGTGCACCTGTGCCCGGTACTGGCTCTGTCCTTGACTGACTTTAAATAAGTTTGTTCCTCCATGTAAGAAAGGACAGGTATAGACTTGAGGTCTTTTCATGATCTTTTCAGCTCTGACCTTTGCTCTGGCAGGTGGCTTATCAGCTGTGTGATTCCAATGATTGAGCCAAACCTGGTTGTCAGAACAACCGGATGTTGTTTCAGGTCTGCTACTTGTAGGCTATGTGGACTTGGGGTAGTCCTGTCACCTCCCTGGACTCAGAACTGTCTCCCTGAAGTGCATTCACTACATGACTGCCATTAGGAGCAAATAAAATAGAGAAGGTAAATGTGCCCTGTCAACTGGAAAGTTCCACATAGAATGAGGAATTATTATCATCATTATTTTTATTACTTTTTTTTTTTGATGGAGTCTCACTCTGTCACCCAGGCTGGAGTGCAATGGCGTGATCTCCGCTCACCCGAACCTCTGCCTCCTGGATTCAAGCAATTCTTGAGCCTCAGCCTCCCGAGTAGCTGGGATTACAGGTGCCCGCCAGGACGCCAGGCTAATTTTTGTGTTTTCACTAGAGACAGGGTTTCACCTTGTTGGCCAGGCTGGTCGTGAACTCCTGACCTTGTGATTCACCCATCTCAGCCTTCCAAAATGCAGGGATTACAGGCATGGGCCATAGTGCCTGGCTGATTATTATTACTCTTTTTTTTATGGTCGAAAGACTTGAGCCAGAACTGGAGCATTAACTTCCAGAACCTCTCATTTGGAGTCAACTTGAGCTTAGATCTGCCAGCTTAGTTATTTTTACTTTATGTGGCTTTCAAGAGCTTCTGAAGTGCAGCACATGCATGCAAACACATATCAGATGCCTCCTTCGTTTCTAGGCCCAGGTTTCTATCTGGTATCAGGTGCCTTTAACTTTATTCTACTCAGATCCTTAACTGAAAGTAAAGCTACCGGGTGAAGTAGCAGGACTGGGCCATTAACCACTGGCCCAGCGGCTGGGAGTGATGGACTTTCCCTGAAGGTGAGCTCAGGAGTACCAAGCACTCACAATGAGCAGGAGTCAGCCCGGGGCTGTCAGTGAATCATTGGCCTACGATTCATGCATGTAGAAAAATCTTTTGAAGCACAACAAAGTAAAGAGAGAAATTCCTAGACTTAATGCTATCTATCTTCTTGTGGACAGAAGCCTTCAGAGACCCCTCATTTTGCTCTGATCGCCTTTCATAACTTAAGAGTACCCTTTTAAAGTCTCCCAGCCCCAGGACTGTTGCAAGGCTTTGCAAAGTGCAAAGAGCCAAACAGCTAATAAACCACCTGCCAGAGGAGGAGGCTGGGCTGGGAGGTCTCTCTAGGTGCCCTTCCAGCTCTATCAGCTTGGGTTCTGAGTCCCCACAAAAGGGGAAACCACTGCTGATGGCTTCAGCAAGATTAGGAAAGGAGTGAAATGGAGAAAATAGAGGGTATCCAGGGACAATCTCAGCTTCTTAATGTTCTCCAAATGCATGAAGTGACCCATGGCAACTAGCTGGGAGCCAGAATGTGTCATCTCGGTTGGTGGATGGATCTCAGCAGTCCTGTTTTTCTCATTGATGTACTGAGTGCTCAACATATCCCAGGCACTTCTCTGAGTGTTTTACATATATCAACTCCCGTCCTATTTACAACAGTTCTGTGATATAAATACTATTATTTTCACTATTTGACATATGAGAAGACCTGTATACAGAGAATATTAGCTTTCTAGGACTTCTGTAATCAATGATCACAAACTAGGTGGCTGTTAAATGGTTAAGTTTCTTAACCACAGAAATGTGTTCTCACGCAGTTCTGGAGGTGAAAAGCCTGAAATCAAGGTGTCGGCAGGACCATGCTCCCTCTGAGGGCTCCAGGGGAGAATTCTTCCTTGTCTATTCTAGCTTTCTAGAATAGGCAGTTGTAGGCGGGCAGTCTTTGGCACTCCTTGGCTAGTGGCAGCATTACTCTAATCTCTGCCTCTGTCTTCACACGGCTGTCTTCCCTCTGTGTGTGTCTCTGTGTCCAAACTTCCCTCTTCTTATGAGGATACCAGTCATTGGGTTAGGGTCCGCTCTAACCCTGTGTAGTGTCATCTTAACTTGATTACATCTGCAAAGACCTATTTCCATATAATGTCTCATGCAGAGAAACAGGGGTTAGAACTTGAACATGTATTCTAAGGGGACACAATTCGCCCTATAGTACAGAGAGTTTAAGTAATTTTTCCAACATCTAATCACTGGAGAAGATCATATAAAAATGAGGTACCCCACTAAGTAAGGGGTTGCATCCTAAAGAAACAGAAAACCTAACAAATTGAAAACAATTCACAATTTGACTCACTCTTGAGAAGTCAACAAAGGGCAGAGATGCTCTTATTGCAACCTTTCTCAAACATCTAAGATCTTTCTTCTCTTTTTTTCTCTCTCTCCCTTTCGTTTCCTTTAGGTCTTCATGAACTCTGGACTAAGAAACTCTTCTGTCTCTCCTTAGCCATCTACTTACACCTACCTACTCACTCCTTGGACTTCACAGTCACAAAAACTGTCCCCTGACATGAGACCCTCCCTGCCATATACTGCC